TTTTTATGTCTCACTCGAGAGCATAGAGTATTGATTATTCAATTGTGCGCGTTAGAATATTTTTTTTCTAGAATTAGTTTTTAACATAATATAAAGTTAAACCGCAGAATGTAAAATGATTACAATAGTGTTCTGGGTAAAAATTGCAATTTACGTTTATGCTTAAAAAAAGGAACGAACACGCACGCGAGCATTTGTGTTATGATACCTTGTATATGTACGCTTTCCTTTCTCGTCTGTTGAAATTACGTACGTATGCAACTTTGTGCGATCTTGTTACGGCAGCAGGAACGATCTTACGTCAAAGAAAAGAAATTCCGCAGTTAAGGGTTGAAGAAATTCTTTAGAGTCAAACTTATCGTAGCTACTTTTCCTTAACAGAACTTCGCTATCGCGACCATTCGCTCACACGTGTGTATTTCTCGTTATTTCCGCTTTAAAGGTCGTTCGGTATAAAGAATATAACAAGGATCTCTAGAGAAAAAGAAATAGGGACTCAATATGATGTGAGCTCTATAATTTTTATAGGACAAATACAACACGATAACGTAAAATGATCAGAGCGATCGATTAGCCCTTCAGAAAGTAGCGTTGCATATTTGCAACGTTCAATTTAAAATAAAATTCGGGATAAATTCTGGATATGTGAAGATTAATTACACTTAAAAAATGAAAATGGAAATGTCGATACAAAAGAACAATTTTGCTGAATCCAGATCTAAAAATAATTTTTGTAAAATAATCAAAATAATTTTGCGCGAAAGTCAAAGTGATTGCTAAAATATCAAAACGTTTTATAGTAATGCTTATCGGTTTTAAAATTCCAACAAATTATTTTGATGATCCAACAAAAAATTATTTTTAGATCTTTAGCAAAGTTTAGTTTTTGGCAAAATTTTTAGATCTTTCAACAAAATCGTTCTTTCCGTGTGATTTATACTCAAGTTTTGATTTTTGCATCAAAGGAGACTAGATAAAATTCCTTTTGCGCTAAAGAGCTTCTCCTCCGACAAAGTTAATCTCTATATTTTTTGTTAATAACTTTTCGAAGTGAATCAACCTTGAATCTGCCGGCGTAATTATCCCCGGCGTGCTCGGGGCTTTCGCCCTTCCTTCCGCGCCACAATTCGAACGTGCGGAGCCGATCCTGGAATCCCTCGAATTGCGGCTGCATCTCCAGCTCCGTGGAATAGATCTGATTACAGTGTTTGAGCGCTCAAGTGTTCGAGCAAGTGCATTAAATAGTACCTTGAACGTCGCCACGGGTTTACGACGAAACGCTGTCGTGATCCCCAATTCTCTATTTCTCTCGTCCTGCGGACCCCAACGGACTCAATAATTTGCATTATCAAATGTCTCGGCCTGATTGGCCCTAGTCGATCAAGACTCATGTTCTACATGATCTACATCATCAGAAGTCGGTTCGTTTGTCGGCAATGCGATTTACCAGTGATCGAGAAATTAAGCTGAGCCGAGGAAAATTTTCAGAGAGCTTGGAAATTCAAGGGATTAAAAGCAGATAAAAAGAGCTATATAGAATCTAAGAAGTTATAAGTCTTCAATTTAAAATCTTTTTTTTTGCAATTTATAATGCAGCATGTAAAATTTTAAGAAATGAGAAGAGGCAAGGGATAAATATATCTGCAGAATATAGTTAAACTGCTAAATCAAATGAACTAGTAGTAAATGTTTAAGCAGCTAAGTACCTAAGTAATTAAGCTACTAAATCCCCTGAGCCGCGCGTTAGGTATCCAAACAATTAAATTTCTGAGCACCTAAGCAACTAAGTATCTAAGCAGTTTAATATCTAGTTACATTTATTCTAATTTGATTTAGTTTGGTCGGAAAATGGACAAAAATAATTTAAAAAAATAAAATAAATTAAAATGAGCAAAAATAAGGGATATTTAATTGCTAAGCACCTAGGCAGTTAAGATTTTAAGCAGTTTAATATCTAGTTACATTTATACGATCTAATTTAATGTCGGAAATTCTTTGAGATTGAAAGAATAATTAAAAAGAACAAAATAAATTAATAAAGAGGGCTATAAGTGAGCAAAAGATAAAAAGACATTTAATTAATCATACAAATCAAACTTGTCGATTTAAATTAATATCATACAGCCAAACAAGTTTTGACTTCACTTAGTCTTTATTAGATCAGTGAAGATCAATGAAGACTGAGTGAAGTTGAACACTGATGAAGATTAAGTGTAGCAGAATCTTGCTATATATAGGATTAAATTTCAAGTGACTAATTAAATTATGATTAATCTGTTTATTATTAATCTATGATTAATTGATAATGCTAATGTATCTATGATTAATTTAACATTCTTAATTTTTGCCCATTTTTGACCCCCTTTTTAATGTCATTATTTTATTTCATTCCTTTTTAAAATAACAAGAAAAACACGCATATAAAGGCTGAAAAATAATTAAGTTTCAAAAGTACTGTAAAACTTTAAACGTTAATATAGTACCCTTTATTTGCGTTAATGAATTTTTCATGGAAAGTAATAAAAAATAATTTGGCCGATAATTATTCCTTTTGTTCAGAATAATGGTCTCACAAACCTGAAGGGAGGCGAAATATTTACTCCACCAATCGAGAGTTTCGTCATCGCTGTCTTTGTAAATCTCCACCTTCTTTCTCTTGGTAAGAAACTTGAATTTCAATATCCTCTTCGTGACTACAAGCAGTCTCTTCAGCTTAGAACGAATGTCCGTTGCAGCCATTCTCTTATACGCAATGAGACCTTTGCCCTCCTCCTTCGGAGGACTATAATCGATCGGCAAAGGTACTGCATCAAGAATCAAATGAAAGCAATATTACGTAAAAAATCCGATAATTTTTTTCTACAGAATAATATAAAAAAGCGTTTGTAATAATATGAATAATAATAAGAGAAGAAGAAAATTTAAGAAAATATGAACAAGCTCGGTATTATGAGCGACGCGTTTTTTTATTATTGCATAAAAAAACGCGTCACTCATATTACCGAGCTTGTTCATATTTTCTTAAATTTTCTTCTTCTCTAACTTTACAGTATTTAGAAAATCACGTAAAGTACAATAAAGGAGGATTTATCCTCCTTTTAATACCTATACACACATTATTATATAAAAAAACGCGTCACTCATAATACCGAGCTTGTTCATATTTTCTTAAATTTTCTTCTTCTCTAACTTTACAGTATTTAGAAAATCACGTAAAGTACAATAAAGGAGGATTTATCCTCCTTTTAATACCTATACACTATGTATAATACAGCTCTATAATAGACGAATGTCATTTAAATAAAAATAATAGTACAAGGCACACTGACACACTACCGCCGTCTGCCGTTTCGCCAGCTGGAATTTCTGCATGAATTTCGACTCGTATATCTGGGCATCATAATCCTCCACGGTTATTAATTGCTCGAGAAACACGTGAATGTTAGGGATAATGCAGATCCCGGCGTACTTGAAGCAGCCAAATCCGCGCGAATCGTATGCCTTTATGGTGATACTAGGATAGTAAATGTCGAGCTCCGGCATTTCCTTGATGATTAATGCGTTTCAGAGCGGGTTCCGTTTTCTCATCATTAATCACGTACATCATAATTACGTACATCATGGATTTATTTTAATCGCAGCCTGATTTCTGATCGTTAAGACAATGAACGTTGACGGCTATATGTCGCAGTCAACTTGACATGAAAGGCAACTTGACATCGACGATCGAAATTAAGCGTCAATCAAATTCTTATCGAGATACATAGTTTTCGGACTTTCCAAAGAAGCTATCTATGTTCCTTTTTTTTAGTTATTACTAAACATTGCACAAATATGTTGTGCGTCAAAGTTTACTAATTAACCCTACTCGGGATGATTTCAAAATTACCAGCTCGATCATAATATGCGGTTCCGCAAAGTTGCTGAATTTCCTAGCGTTCTTCATCACTTCCGACTTGACGTACACTCCGGAGCACTCCACTATAATTCTCGGCCTGCGAACCGGCATATATTTTATCTTCCTCATGTCGCGAACACCCCAAAAGATCACCTCCAGCCTGTAGCTCGTCATCTTCGGCCTGATATCCGGTGGGATATTGTAAATCTTGCCCTCTACTGACATGCTCATTGGAACATCCGAAATCTCTTTGTTCTCTGTCTGTAGTAATGATATATATATATATATATATACACATACAAACGTATGATATATATACGAATGTTCTCATTTTTCAATTTTGGAGAAAAGCCATCGTAAAGCTCGATGCATTATCTAACAAGATACATATATGTGTACAGGATAAATCAACTTTCCCATTTTGTTTTTTTTATAACCAACTGATTTATGTGAAATATTTTGAAATATATTAAGTTTAAGTTTATTAGGATGCTTGTAGCATCTTCAAACGAAAATCGATTTAATAGATATGTGACATTATTTCAGCTTTAAATTATGCGTTCTTTAAAGACGGACAGCAATCGATGCACAGTTTACGATAACTGAAATTTAAAGATTTAAAAATTGAAAATATTTTTAAGCAATCAATATCTAGCATTGGCCGAATTTGGCTCTTTTCCCGCATTATTTGTTGTATACATATATCGGCCTTGTTTGAAATTATTGTTTATATTATCAGGTACTAATATTCAGAATTAAATATAGAAGGCGTTCGCAAATTTATTTGTTTATATTAATTTTGTTTTTACGGAAAATATGTAATTATGATAAATTTATCTATGCTGCATCATCTTTTTGATTGGATCAGCCTTTGAAGGGTAACGTTTCCGTAAAAAATGTTAAGTCGTAATAAGAATCAAAGGATACGTTGTTTTAAAAAAATCTTTTAATTTTTTTACAATTCTGTTTTATTTTTTTTATTCGAGCAAATGCTTCTCGAGAAATCACATCTAGAAAATAACAATGAAAAACTCGTAGTTTTGAAAAGTTTATAAAAAAATCACTTAAGTAAATACAAAAAAAATACTTTCCATCATCTTCTGCACAATAAGAAAGCTTCTTTTCAAAGTTATTACGGACATTGTAAAACATTTCCCATGTTCTACACCACTCATCCACTATCTTTCGTATATAGATCTTGTATGAAACCCGGTATTGGGCATAAATATTTTATTTTTCAAGTAGGGGAAACTGGGGACAAAAGTAACATTTTGAATTTAAAGTCTTATGACAGTTAAATTATGATATTTACATTTAAAAAACCCATATCTTTAGATGTAGAATTTATTTAAGTACAAAATTTTCTTGTGTTTAATTTTGTAATGTAACTAGGAAAAAAGTTATTGTTTAAACACTATGAGGAATATTGTTAAAACTGTCCCCAGCCCCAGGGACGGTTGAAACAGTAGAGGGGGACGTTTGTATTATATTATTTATAGGTAAACACTTAGCTATTTATTAAGTTTTATGCACTACAATTATTTATAATCATATATCAATGTTATATGTATATATATAATATATATTTAATAAAATTAACTATAATA